CAGGCTCCACCTCATAGTGCGTCCAGGTTCCAGGGGTGGATGGGCAGCATTGTAATGTCAGCACAGCTGAACTCTGAGTTCAGAGGGGTGGTCCCACCTCTGCTATTGCGGTCGTGACCAGCGCTTAGCGATGGTTGACAGCAGCTCTCTCTTTGTCCCTGTTACCCTTGTCCTTCTCTACGGCCTCATGTTCCTGGCAACCGGAATCTCCCTGCTCACTGTGATCCGACACCTAAAGGTAGGGGAGATATGAGGGTGGGGTGACTTGTGGCTGGGGGACTCGTGGCTGAGTGAATCCTGGTCAAGCCTTGGGACATCTCAGGAGTGTAACTGTGCCATGTCCATGTGCCCACAGGCTGGCAGACGACGCCTGCGGTGGAGGAAATGGTGGCGGCGAGCAGCAGCACCAGAGCCAGGTGAGCCCTCTGAGGGTCAGCCTGAGCCCCAGGCATCCATTTCCCAGGAGCATCCGTCCCCAGGCAGGGCCTAGCCTCTGGGAGCAGCTGAGCCGCGGCCCAGGACGTGGCACAGTGCAGCCTGGCCAGATGGGCCCACGGCATGGGCGTGCAAACTTCTGGCTTCCCCGGGCTGTGGTGGGTGTGTGCTCAGGGCCGGGCTGGGCCTCTCGGCAGGGCAGAGCTGCAGGTGACATCGGGCTGAAGCCAGGCTGCAGTGACAGCTGTGCCAGGCTGCATGAGGCCCGTGGGCCGCAGATTGGACATGCCTGACCCAGAGCATCCCCCGAGTCCCCAGCCCACCGTGGCTCAGGATTTCTTCGTTTTGCAGGTGCTGAGAGACAGGCAGCCAGACACAGCAGCTCCCAGTGCGAGCCACTGCGCCCCTGCAGGAAGGCCGACCAGGAGCTCCAGCAGCTGGTCCTGTCAGGGCTGCCTGGGTGCAAGGCTGTGCTGGGCCCTGACTTCTGGCAGGCGGCCTGGAGGGACCTGGAAGAACTGATGAAGCAGAACAGCCTGTCGTGCCACTGTTGCAGCTCCTCTGAGGTTCGATGCTATCCCAGAGAAGGCCATGACCACTCCTTGACTGCCTGGCAGAGCACCAACAGAGCCGGTGCCAGTTTGCACCCCTGGACCCGTGTGGAGCGCTGGAGCCCACAAAGCCCTGAGCATGCACGGAAAAGCCTGAAAGTGCACCTGGGGGCCCTGCACAAACGGCTCTTGCTCTCCCAGATGCAGGCAAGGAGAAGGCAATGCTGCTCTGTCCTGCCCAAACTCATCAAGCCAGGGCAGACTCAGCCCCTGCTGCAGCACCGTCTGAGCCCCTTGCTGCAAGCCAAGGGTGACTGCACAGCAGGCAACATTCTTAAGAAGCAAGAGCTGAAATAGTGGGAGGGCCCCAACCCTACTGAGATCTTCCAGAACCTACTGGTGCCATGCCCTCCACTGCTTCTGCTTCCCCAGAATATAGGTCCTTCTGAGAATCTCGTTGAGTTTGTTCTCTATTTCCAGGGCCAGGTTGAGGCACAGGGGCATCCCAGGAAGAGGCAGCAGCACCACCAGGGCCAGCATGAGGAGTCAGCAAAGATTCTTTTGCCTCTGTGCGCAGCACCTAAGGAGACAGAATGTCCAGCAGCTAGAGCAGCACTTCCTGGCCCAGCCAAAGCAGCACGGCTAAACAACAGCAGCACTCAAACGGGCACCTCAGACCTGGATGTGGCTGACATTAAAGCTATCAGGGCAGTGCCAAAACTGCAGGTCAATCAGGTGACTTGCGGGAAGCTCTCCATGCACACAGACAGAAAATGCCTGGACCTGAAGTTTCAACTCTCCCTTGCGACAGTGCAGAAGTCCACAGAACCTCTGCAACACTTACCGCCAACACAGGATGCCCTGCTCTCCACACCCAAGAGGAAGTGCCCCCTCCATCCTGACCAGGTCAGGAGGCAGCAGTGTAGGGCCAAGGCACCAGGATCCTGCCTGGTGCCCACGTACTTCCACAGCTGTGAGGCTCGGTTCCTGACCAAGGAGGAGCGTGAGACCCTGGAGCTGCACATCCGCTCTCTGAAGCTGAACCACCTTGGCCTCATTTCAGGCCGCCCGCTGCAGCCAGCAGCGTCCTGGGAGAAACAGTCCACCAGCACATATGTGACTGCACCATCTGGGGCAGACTGGATTAAGGCAGGCCCCAAAAGACACAAGTGGTGTCCCTGGTAGAAGAAGTGCCCTAGGAGAAGCAAGAGCAGCTGGAGCACCAAAGCAGAAGGCAGCAGCTCTCCACCTGGCAGTGTAACGTTCTGTGGAGCACAAAGGAGTATCACCACCTGAGACAACTCATCATCACAGCCCTGCAGTGACCCTGTCTGTGGCTCCAAGAAATCGTGCCACTCGCACCATGCCCAGGATGCTGCTGCCATACCAACTGACAAGAAGGTCTACGTAGTCTGGGCGAAGATGTGCTCGATGCCCTAAACGTCTGTCTCTAAGCCCATCCATCTTGCTTGTAAGGAGAGGAAGGGCCAGGCTCAGCAGTGCCTCTTCTCTTTAAAAAAATCTGTATTTTTTTAAATAAATAAGCTTATTTACTTGTGCCACCAAGACGGGAGCTGTGCCCTTTTCACCTGCCAGCACTAGTCACCCACACTGCTCCTCCCCAGAGCTGCTCTGGGGGCCCAGCCAGGAGGCTGCTGTCCTAGAGGCTGAGCAGCGCTGAGACAAATTTGAATCACAGATCATAGAATCACAAGGTTGGAAAGGACCTACAGGATCACCTAGTCCAACCGTCCTCCCATCACCAATGCTGCCACAAGCTACTAAACCATACCTCGTAGCTCCTCATCCAGACGCCTCTTGAACACTGCCAGGGATGGTGACTCCACCACCTCCCTGGGCAGCCATTCCAGTGCCTGACCACTCACTCAGAGAAAAAGCTTTTCCTTATATCTAATCTAAATCTCCTCTGGTACCCCATTTTTAAAAAGGGTAAAAAGAATGACTCCATGTACTACCAACATGTCAGTCTCACCTCTGTGCCAAGGAAGATGGTGGAGCAGATCCTCCTGGATGGTATGCTTAAAGCCACATGGAAGGCAGTGAGTTTATATGGGAGAACCAGCACGGCCTCACCAAGGGCAAATCCTGCTTGACCAACCTGGTGGCCAACTTGTTGTCAATTCCTTGGGTCGTGTTAGTTACCTGAGAGAAGAGGCCAAACCCCTCCTCATCACAGCCTCCCTTCAGGAATTTGTAGCCTACAATGAGGTCTCCCCTGAGCCTCCTCTTCTACAGTCTACACAATCCCAGCTCCCTCAGCTGCTCCTCATAAGACTTGTGCTCACCAGTTTTATTTCCACGTTCCAGAGCCTTCATGTCTTTCTTGTATTGAAGTTCCCAAAACTGAACACAGAACTCGGCTTCACCAGTGCTGAGCACAGGCTGATGATTACCTCCCTACTCCTGCTGACCTCACTATTTCTAACGCAGGCCAGGATGGCATTGGGCCTCTTGGCTTCCTGGGCACACTGTCGGCTCACATTTAGCCAAGATCAACCAACACCCCCAGGTCCCTTTCCTCTTCACAGTCATCCAGCCACTCATCCCCAAGCCTGTAGCGCTGCGTGGGGTTCTTGTGGCCAAAGTGCAGGACCCTGCACTTGGCCTTGTTGAACCTCATCCCATTCACCTCAGCCCAGAGATCCAGCTTATCTAGATCCTTCTGAAAGCCTTTCCTACCCTCAGGCAAATCAACAATACTTCCCAACTTGGTGTCATCTGCAAACTTACTGAGGGTACAAACATTTTGTTAGGTCTTTATTTCAATGAGGCAACAAAACAGGAAAAGAGAACCTCACCTTCCACAGCAGTCTATTGGTCATGTTTGCTTATTTAAAGATTAAATATTTAAGCATGAGACAGGGTACTATATTCCACATTCTTTTGTATTTAGCTTGTGTGTTAGAATGTCTCTCTTTTCTTATATATCTTTGGAATAAAATAAAACTGTAACATTCGGATACTATTAATATCAGTCCCTAGTTTTGGTGTGCACTTACTTCTATTCTTTTCTTTACTAGCAAGGATATTTAATTGCTTCCTTTCCTCAGCTTGTACAAACATCTCATACTGTACCTTCCCTACAGAATAGAGCTCAGGAGAACATTCATAATGGTGGAGTTTGAAATTCAATTTCCAAGGGTTTTGGCTTTACAGGAATACTATGCTTTAGGAAGAGTTATTCTGGACAATTTTTAAACAGGTATTTTTATCTGCTAGTAAAAAACTGAAAGGGTTTTGGTACTGTCCAGCCAAAGAACATTAGTATTACTGATGTACACAACTGACACTTCATTCAGCAATTCGTAAACTCTTCTCACAGAACTACTGACACATTATGTAATTACATCTTTTAAAGATGTGGGAAAACTAACTTGCCACACTGGTAATAGGTATGATTACAATCTGACTACAAAACAAACTGTTTTTGTGAATTACCATTATGGAAAAAACCTAACATTTATTCATCTTAGAAGAACTTATAGGAGAAGTCTACTGAGAAGCTTACATAACAGGAAACAGCAGCAATCTAATAAAGCCTGAATTAAGGAAGAGCAAATAAGGCAAATGTTTCACTTTAACATAAGTTAAAAAAAATAGTAGCAAAATACACTCATGCACAATACTTTAGCATTTCTTTTATACATTTTACATTTATGCGTTACTCAATATACAGTTGTAGTGTGGTATAATCTGGTTCAGTAACAGTACTTTCAGACATTTAAGTCCTAGGAAGACTATGTTAAGTCCTGTAAGTAATGGCCTCAAATTCTTGACTTTCCTATATTCTACTCTAGCATTAATCAAACTTGATGAAGGACATATCACGAACCACTATTAAACATTCAAGCAGCTCCAAAATCTCAATGCTCAGATTTAAATGCATGTTGCGTAAGACAGAACTTACCTCACAGAATGCTAGTAAAATGGAAGCAAAGAAAAATGTCAATGTTTCATACCAGCATATTAACATCGTCTTAATCAACTACTTACTAGTCTCATTTTTTAGAGCAGTTTCTTCTTTTTCAATTGTTACCAATAAATTTTCGGTGAGATCTGCTCTTTTGCCCACAATTGCAAAGCCATTCCAGACGTACATCATTTCCTGACAAAAAAATAAACAAGACAATCTCATGAAATTGCACATACACTTAACTAAAGAGAATACACTGGGGGAATGTTATGGAACATTTTGAAAACATGAAAATACTGCCTACAAAAACTTGTTTTAAACAATATGAAAGGTTTCAAAGTTTGTCACTGTTAAGAAGCCCAAGAGTAAAAGTAATCGTGTTACTTCAAATGAGCACTCGAGAATGTGTAATGGACATTTCATCAGGTACATATACATTTTCAAAGGCAATCATAGGCTCTATCTTCCATGTAGAGCAACAGTAGATAAAATTTTCCCTGTGGTTCTAATACATAAATACATCATAATATATGTATCCAGCAACTGCATCTAATATATTCCTCCAAATCTTATTTAGAATTAAGCATCAAGCAAATCCTATCAAAAAGCTCCCCCGATGCTTCAGTAAGCAATATGGTTGTTTAGATGCATTAAAGTGTGATGTAATAAAAATTGAAGAGAACGAGAGAACAGTTATGCAGGTTTCATTCTAGCAAAAAATAATCTTTGCTTTCATGACAAAGTACAGTATACAGCACAATTTGGTTTATTTGCATTGTAACTACATCCGTGAAATACAAAACAATGTCATTTTGAAGCAGATACAATACACCACTCAAATATTTCTGCTTACATTTCTGCTGTAACTATGTGGTTTTTCAGATGGTGTCTGGTGTTAAGAAACACCAACTTACTAGAATTGTCATCAGCTGTAAATCACAGAATCACAGAATGGCCTGGGTTGAAAAGGACCACAGTGATCACCTAGTTTCAACCCCCTGCTATGTGCGGGGCCACCAATCACTGGACCAGGCTGCCCAGAGCCACATCCAGCCTGGCCTTGTGGAAAATCTGATTTGGTTTTGAACTGCCATTAGTACATTTTACAAAAATCCCAAGGCCACTCCATTTGCATGAATGCCAATAATTACTTGGAAAAAAAGTTTAAAATGTAATTATCAAATACATATTACCTGATAAAATGTAAGAAATTATATTAGAAATTATACTCCTTTTCTTCCCCACAATTTTTCTCCATTTCTTCATTTAAAATGGACAAAAAGAAAGCAAGTATAATTACCAAGGCAGGTAATATCAGCTTCACAGGTTGAGAACTTGCATAGCGTCGAGCTTTCCTTACTGCAAATTTTTCAGTTGGAATAGATTTTCCTGCAATTCTCTGTTTTAGACCATCCACTTGTCTAAGAGGAGACAAAAGAAAGCTAAGTTTAAGTAGTTTTCATTTCCTTTAGTCTCATGTAGTAAGATATTATATTTTTCTGGGAAGAATAACATCTTAACTGTGTGGCTTTCCACCACACAGTATGCTGATGCAAGATGTATGTTGCTAATAAATGCATTTTAAACAATGTGATGGTAAAAAGTAATGCAAAAAGTTGAAAAGTTGATGATAAAACATAGGGAGAAGGTGATACAAAACGAAGATATTCAAGTTGAAATTAGTTTGTGAGTGTGGAATTGGGATGGAATATAATGACTGAATATCTAATTATTTCATAAAAGTTTACCTGAACAAAGATACAATGTCCTCACCGGTACTTTTCAATTCATCCTCTGTAAGCATACATAAAATTGCTGCTTTTTGGAATACATATATTGCCTATTTCATAAACAAAAATCAACATATTACCACACTGATATGCTGTGTTCAATGAATACACTAAGAACTGAAATCTCTCATCCACCTGAGAATTACTGGAAACACTTCATGCTGCAGTGAAGTACTTCCAGTAATACTCAGTTGGATAGAACTATTTATGTTTACCCATGCATTTATTACGTAGTTTAATTTTATTTTCAACATATTTATTGATATTCTTAATAAGTCAATATTAAAATCCTTCCTGCAAAAAGTGAGACAATTCACAATACAAATAACTGATAAAAAAAAGAAGTTAATGACAAACGAACTATTCTAATGAGTATTATCTCATCTGAGCACTACCTCAAGGGAAGTTTGACTTAGCACAGAGAAAAAGCAAACATCCATAATTCTATTTAAGACATTCTCACTTCACACAAAAGATACTATCACTGTTTTTTGTCATAAACAGGATGCATCCTCTTTTCCACCTACTATAAAAGAATTACCTAAAAAAGAAGAGATGAAAGATCTATCCAAAATTATTTGCACATTGTGCTTGGTTCCTACTCTGAAAGTAGTTTTAGAAGGGTAAGATTGGCTGACCAGCTTTACTCAAAAGACTCCATTTCCGGAAGACTTTTTATTTCATGTCACAAAGCATGTGCTGACTAGACATGCCTTCATCTTTTTATAATAAATGAAAACACTGTTTCTTCAGCCAAGTTCTATTAGCTAATATTAGAATTCAATTAGAATTGCAATCAACAGTTTTTCTTTCCTGTTTTCTCCTCTCAACTGTGATGGGCGCTTCTGTTTTTACTGAGATTAACGCACTGTTAAATGGTACTAGTGCTTCTGTCCTTAACCACACAGCTCAACCTACAATTTGGTTGCACTGTCCCTTTACTCACAGATTTAAGAAGAAAGGAGAAATTAAACTTATTTTGCACAGCAAAATGCAAATGTAACTATGAGTGGCTATTGGAATATCATATTAATGTCCACCTGACCATTTACCTTAGACCACCTGCTCTCTTTGCTCAGCAGGTCTGCATACCGATATGCCTGAAGCCAGTTCTGCTGGAAGGTGTAACACCACATCAGTTCCCAGTAACAGAGATGATGAATCTGCTTCCATTCTTGCTGGGCTGCTATGCAGTCTTGGAATGTTAACTGCGCCTAGGATTTAGGTAAGTAGGAATAACAAAAACTTGTTCAGTTACAGTTCCATGATAGAGATGCGTCTAACTACATAGAAAATTCTTCTGCAGCACCCAAATAAAGAACAATCAACTTCAACAATCACATAATCTTCCCCCTCAGTTTATCTTAGAGTAAGACTTGCAATCAATACTGACACTAGCTGTCAACAGGGAAAACAACATAATTACTATTTCCAGTATACTTTAAGATGAATCATACGTAATTTTTTTTGGCACAAAACACAGCTGTACACTTAACAAGTAAAAACCTTAAAAAGCAAAAATTGATTTACCTTTTCAAAATTTCCTTTCAGCGTATCTATTCTGGCAGCATAGAACAGTATAATGGAACCCTTGAAAGGAGAGGTGAAAAATACTTAGTTATTACTTTAAGCTTAGGGAAATATATTACTGTTACAAAATTTGTTGAGAATACACACATTTGGAAATTTTTGGAGGTAGGGTTCAAGGAGACTGTCTGCTTCCTGAAGATTGGTGTCCCCTGTACCTAGAAAACATAATAAATCAACCTCAGTTTACCTACAGAAAATATGAAAAAGGACTTTAACACATGAAAAATTACATTTCCAAAACATATTACGACACACGTATAGATTAATGAATGACCAGTTTTATTCAAAAGCAGAAATATCATTAGATCATATTATGTGTCTATAAAAATCAATTCTTGTCTGGTAAGAACTAATGGCTTTTAGTATAGAAAATATTTGTAGGCAGAAGATAAAATATATTAACCTTAAAACTATTCCATTATAAATTTCTTTTATATTTTCAAGTCCCTTTGATTGTTTTAACAAGTAAAGAAAACAATCTCTAGCTGCCCTCTTTCCTAGTTTTAAACTCAATAACAAAGCATGGGTGATACTAGAAGAAATGAAGTTCATCTTAATTTCCTAATTAGCCTAAAGGACAAGGGCAGAAAGTAAAGAACATAAATAAGTCTGTTAAAGATGCACATACAATTAAAAGTAACTTGTAGGCCCATGTGGCAGAAGAATAATTCTCTGTATGTTTGATCTTCCAAGAAAATTATTTAGGAGTACAGACCTCATTCCTGAGACGGCTTTCACTATATCTGATGTTCATATATGGAAAAGGACTTGTCAGAAATTAAAAGTGTTCTACGAAATTCTGCTGTTACAATTGAAGGACTCCTTCAAACAGAACCTGATGTCAGTGTAACACAGCATCTGTCTAACTACTTCTTGGAGCATAGCTTTGTCAGAGAGATCAGTTTCAGAATGTAATGAGTTACACAGAAATCTCCTCTTACAAAACTAATAGCCCCAGATTCTAAATTCAGTTCAAACAGCAGAATGTCTGTCACAATGTGTAGTATGACTGAAGAGCTACACAGTGGGTCTCACCAAGGATTAAGGAGACATAAGTATGATAAACCAACAGGGTAAAAGTACACAGAATGGCTCTCAAACTGCTGCCAGATGCTCCTTCCCACAGTTGATAGAGGCCCAGCTCCTAAGAAACATCACACACACATGCAGAATTAGCTATCAGTATACACAGTTACTTTCAGTCATTTATAGATCACCCAAACCCCATTTTAAATATAAATATTTCATAATCTAGGACTTCATTATCTCAGATCCAACATAACATTCTACCAAAATACTTCTGACCTGCCGATCGCAGCTGGCCAAAAACAGCTTAAGTTAATGCTGAATAGAATTACGTATGAATTCCACAGACCATGCAGCTAGACAGACCTAAATCCCTTCCTCATTATTTTATTGATATGAGCCTTTTAGAATAATGATTTTAACACTGTGTTCTATAGAAACTTCTTTAGTGTTACTTTTAGACAAAAGTCTTCCTTCACAGAAATCACTGGTTATTCTCAATTCTCTCCTGTCAAGTCAGCCACTAATTAGAGTTTCTGATCAAAATAACAGCTTTGCTAAGAAACCAACTTCTAGACAGTTTCCAGAAGCTACAATTTAATTTGTGAGTTCTGAAAAAAAACAGGGACATTTACTTGGCTATTACATGTGAAACTTCTTTTTAACCATTTCAGCTTATGTCCATTACAGGACAGCTTGGTTCCTCTGAGGATTGTTAAGATGAGATAAGATTAGTAAGATTGATAAGATTGATAAGACTGATAAGACTGCTTAAGGGCAATGAGTCTTTAGAAGGTGATTTAAACAGTTTTTGGGGAAAAAAAAAAAAGTAATAAGTAAATTAAAATAAATGAACAGTAAAATAAAATTAAGGAGTTTTATTGCATAACAATTGTTCAGCTTTCCTTTAAACTTCTACAACCTTTTCACTTACGGCACTAATACGTGCCGTGAAAATTCTCCAACATGCAGTACAATTTGAACAGGAAGCAAGAGAACGAATGCCTCTCTGCTGAAACCTAATTTTATATCAAATATACTAGTGGACAAGCTAGGAGGAATATGATCATATTTTCCCTGGCTTATGAACAACATGACACTTAATTCTGTGTAATTCTGCGGGTTTATTTGTTTTTTTGTTTGCTTCATTTCTTGAAGGTGGCAAAGGCAGTATTAAAGTGCTGCAGAATAATAAGAAGTTATAATTACAAATATCTCAGCCATGAGGAACAGAGGTACTGGGATTGCACAGCAAGACACTCGGAACTTCATTCTCCCAAAGGTAGGAGAAAGTGAAGAAAAAAAATGTAGAACAATGACTCACTGAGCCAGAAAAAAAAAAAAAAAGAAGAAAAGAAGCTGATATTCTCCTTATAAGGATCAGGAAAAAGAAATGAAATTGTAACTTGAAAACCATCTCTAAAGCAAGCTCATGATTTTCCTTGATCAAGATTCAAAGATTCAGATATCACCATATCTGCTTTCATACCTGCATAATTTCTTCTACTTATTTTTTTAAGAACACTGAAGTAATAATCAACAATGTATATCATTATATATCTAGTGTGAAATGCATGGTATTATATATACCAGGTCTTTACTTGGGAGAAGTCTAATTAGAAAAAGCAAATACAAATCCCATACCCTATTGCCAGAAAATCCAATAAACTCTAAAAATCGGAGGATCCTTGCTGGTAAAAGCGACAGCATCTGCAATACATTTCAAACAAGCATAAGATAAAAAACTTACACACATTCACACAAACTGTGAAACTACTATAAACTACAGCTAGAATGCTAACTATTATATTGAATGCTCTTACATATCACTGAAAAAGTAAAATACACATGAACTCAAAAACAGACATGCATGATTAACAACATGCAATCAGTTTGCAGCTTAAGGAAAACTCGAACACTTGATGATCATCCAGCATGGAAACAGCAAGACAGAATCCATCTGTTCCTTTTCAGATAATGACTTTCCTGTCTTCAGCTGATCAGAACTGCTTGAAAATTTTGAGCCATGTGGAATAAGAGGCAAGTATTATCTATTTTGACAGTACTTATCAACAATTGTCATCTTCCTTTAATCCCAGTGAAATGATACAGTGGTATCCAAAAATTCCACTTTTTCGTACTTGGGAAGTATGGAACCAGCAGACTAGCAAGTCTATCTTTTCTAGAAATATTAGCTAATTTTACCATATTACATGCACTTTCTAATTCTCTCATAACTGCAATCTCCACATTCTACACAAGAGAAAACTTTTAAAGATCACAACCACCTTTTCAAAAAATATTACAGGAAGGTCTATTTGAAGGTCAGTTTTTGTAAGCTCCATTCACTCTACTATATTCTGCCCAGAACAGACTTTTTCTTTTAAGCTTCTTGCTGAGAAGACTTCATGAAGTATAGGAGAGGTCAGAGTACTTGTGAAAGACATCTACCAGTTGCTTGGGTTTTAAAGACTGACAGGTGCAGAGAGACCTGAGTTCTTCTGACCATACTCAGAACTGGCCAGCTCCAGTCTGGAATGATACAGAAATTAAAATACCAGCAGAAATCAACTCTCACTGTTGTTGTGATAGATGTGAAAAGGCAATGTAGTAATTGCAAATAAAAACATCAGTGGACGCACCCAGTCGTTTCTCGTTCAAATCCAGTAAGCTACAGATTGTTCTTCTGAATTTGTGAATGGTCTACGGTAATTCACAGTGACAATTTACAGTATGTCAAAATAATGAAGCACAAGAATGACATGACGGGAGGGATAGAATAAAAGCATTCATTCCAGATATCTTACAACCAACCGTAGAAGCATCTTTAAAAGTCATGCTAGTCATATATAGGTAAGTATAGCTGCTTTCCATCTTAAGCACTGCATATGTTATTAAAACAGATAAAACAAAATTTAAAGCAAATTAGCAGAAAAATCCTAGAACACACAACGCAAAAAGCCGCTAAACTTTTCATGTTTCATAAAAGCTGTAAAACCTACAAATATGTTTTACTAACTTTTTAAAAATAGGATTACAGTATTATATATGTAAAGAATCCTACAGAATTACTGAAATGAATTTATGTAGTCTGAAAAAGTCATACCAGATTGAATGCTCCAATTCCAAGTTTTACCCCTCCTTCAAACTGGTGGTAAGTTTCAATTTTGCTTTTGTTCCCCTGTGTCATCTGCAGAACCTGATGACATTCTCTTTTGATGCACAAAAGAAGAGGAGAGATGAGAAACATGACTTAGAAAGTATACTGAATTTAATCATTATCATTTCTATAAAACAATCTTTTTTTTTTCGCCCTCCAGTTTGGAGGCATTTATTCGACTGCTTATACCAACACTGAATCTGAGTATTTTCCAATAGCTTACTTGTATATTTGGTAACTTGTCCTAATTTTGAGGCCACCTTTGATAAAGTTGATCATATTTTCATCCTGAAATACAAAATATTAATTGTACAACAACACATATTTAGCTATACAAGTAACATACACAAACTCTCAGCAACATTTTACTTTATTTAGCACTTTACAGTCACTGGAAATATTAAAAATGTTTTTCAGTTAATAGAGTCATCTTTAAGACTAAAGTTAGCACATGCATTATGTTTTTATAGAAACATTTTTCTGTTGCGTGTGATGAGCTTCAAAACTCAGAAGAAGGCAAAGTGAGCAGCTGTTTTTTGACTGAACTTCCAGCACGTATAAACAAAAAAGAAAGCTCTCCACCAGGTGGTGCTGTAGGAATCTTTTAAAAAATTTTGGAATGATGATTCTGACACGCACAACCTCGCAGAAGATAAACCAAAAAAATCCCTAAGCAGATGAATTATGATTGCTAAACAACAGCTATTACATACACTACTCAACATACATGTTTATTATCCCTAAGAAAATCAAAGCCACGATCCACTAGCTATCAAAAATAAGTTCCTAAATAGCAAGATGGCCAATGATTCAGCAGGACAGATTTTTGTTCTTTTCTCTTAGAATTAACATAGGAGGGAAACATGTGCAAGCATTTCAGAAATCCTGACTGAATATTCCAGGACAGCACATACGATGTTGACAGTAAATAAATAAATAAACACACATAAAAAGACTACCAGAATTAGGAACTAAAGGAAGTGCTGGTTCCATGGAAGGACAACCATTTTGAAAATCAACTGTTCTGCCTGAAAGACTGAACACTTAAATGTGGGTATTTATTACAGGTATTCTTGCTACACCTCTTTCTAAATAACTACAATCTCACTGCCACCACCATCCTCAGACGAATGGAGGTCAGCCAGGGGGTAATGGAGTATGGCGGCAATCAGCAGATCAGGGTATTACAGCAAAAAACAAAGCAAATGAAACAACGGACAGCAAGTGCTGCTTCACAGAAGGAGTACTCTTCCCCTAGGGGTACTCCACTTCATTCAGCCCCAAAGCTGATCTCCTTCAACAAGCACTTAAAAATTATCTTTGTGCTTAAAAACAAAATCAGAAAACAAATGAAAGAAAAAAAAAAAAAAGGAAAAAAAAAAAAAGAGATTTGCTTCTGTTTCATTAGGAAAGGAAAGACTGCCATTCCACTCCTAATATTTCCTGACACTTCGGACCTAAGTATTCTATTAAGTGATATAAAGCTGAGCTAAATTAACTATTTGGGTCAAACTGATCCTATACATTTGTTTCTCACTTCTTCCTCCTAGTTTATATCTGAAGGGATTATCACCCCTCCTGGGAAACTGGCACTCTCAAATACCTCTCTGAAGTGCCTCTATACCAATGCATGCAGCGTGGGAAGAATTAGAGATCTGTGATTACAGAGACATGGTGGGATAGCTCATATGACTGAAATATTGTCATGAATGGCTACATGTTTTTTTTAGGAAAGACTGGCCAGGAATAATTGGTGGTGTAGCTCATTTGTATACAGGAGAACACCTGGAATGTATGGAGCCCTGCCTAAGAGTGCATGATGAGCAGGTAAGGATTAAAGGAAAGACTTAACAAGGGTGACTCTGTTCTAAGTGTTTACTACAGAACACAGGATCAACACAAGGAAGTAAATCAGGCCTTTTATAATCAAAGGCCCTGGCCCCTCCCTCGTGAGGGACTTCAACCACCCCGACATCTGCAGAAGGAACAATACAGCAGGGCACAAACAATCCATCAGGCTCCTGGAAAGCACTGGTGATACATTTCTGTCAAAGGTGGTGGAGGAGCTAACAAGGAGAGGTGTGTTGCTGGACCTTGTTCTTACAAATAAAAAAGGACTGATTAGGGACATGAAAACTTCAGAGCAGCCATTGCTACAGTGACTATGAGATCATGGAGTTCATGATCCCGCAAGAAGGAAACTGAGCAATAAGTAAGACTGCAACCCTGGACTTCAGGAGAGCTAACTTTGACCTTTTCAGCAACCTTCCTAGAATTATCCCGTGGAAATAAGTTCTAGAAGCTCAAAAACAATGCACCCTGTGGCATGTGAACTTCAGCAAGGCTTTTGAAAGTGTCACTCAGGATCCTTATAGTTAAGTAGGCTGGACAAGTGAATGATGAGGTGGATTGAGAACAGGCTGAATAGAAGGTCACAAAGGACTGTGATCAATGGTTCAGAGTCTGGTCGGAGGCCTGGAGCTAGAAGTGTCCCCCACAGGTCAATATTGAGTCCAGAATTGTTCAGCATACTCATCAGAGACTCGGATGAAGGATGGGAGAAGCTGGAGTGCCTTCTCAGCAAGACTGATGATGATATAAGATTGCGTAGTGGCTGATAGTCCTGAAAGCTTTGCTGCCATTCAGAAAGATCTTGACAGTCTGAGATGGACAGAGAGGAACTTCCCGAAATATAACAAAGGTAAGTACAAGGCCTTGCACCTAGGCACCAGTACAAGCTGTGGGCTGACCTGCTAGAAAGTACATCTGCAGAGAAGGATCTTGTCCACCACTTATCCTGATGGATAAGTTAACTATGATCTAGAAATGTGCCTTTGTGGTCAAGACAGCCAATGGCATTCTGGGTTGTGTTAGGAAGAACACTGTCAGCAGACTGAAGGTAGGTAATCTTTCCCTCTATTCAATTTTGGTGAGGACGCAACTGTAGTATTGCAAACAGCGCTGGGCTCCCCAGTACAAGAGAGACACAAAAGAGCTCTTTGAGTGAGACCAGTGAACGGCTATTAAACTGATTAAGAGACAGGAGCTTCTTTTTTATGAGGGAATGCTGAGAGAGCGGGACCTGCTTACTGGCTAGCCTGGAAAAGAGAAGGCTCTGAAGGGATCTGATCAATGCATACAAATACCTAAGAGTAGGGATGAAGATGAGGAGACAAGCTCTTCTTGGGGGAGGAGAAAGCATGAATGAGGATGAGATGAAATAGGCTCATCCTACAAACTGAAATACAGGAAGTTTCAAGTGAACGTCATGAAAAACTTCTTTTACTGTGGGAGTGACTGAGCACTGGAACAGGCTGTCCAGAGAGGCTTGGAATCTCCTCTGAAGATATTCCAAAGCTATTGAGACACAATCACTGGTAATGTGTTGCTCTAGGGAACCCCGTCTGAGCAGGGATGTTGGACTAGATGGTCACCAGGGATCCTGTTCCCCCTCAACCATTCTGTGATCTAAAATACATTTATTAAACATCCACATAAGCAATCGAAGTATAAGAGACAAAAAATTCATATTTAAGAACACCAATATTAAGTCTCTAAAATACAAGCTAAACAAGAAGATTAAAACAGCAGTAACAGTAGACCCTCCTGTGAACAGAATAATTATCTCAACAATGCTAAGGCAGATCTAATTTATAGTCATTCATTACTATATTGTCCCTGATACCATTTCAAAAGGCCATGGAGAGTCATGCTGAACTAAAGACAATGGCACACCAGTTTAAGTATTCTTAGGTGGGAAAAAAACTCCATCCTTATTGCACAAAAAAAAAAAAGACTCGCTCTCCAAATGAGACATTTCCTCACAGTTGAACATCTCTTTAAACAAGTCCTGTATAGTTTTAGATGTGATGCCAGTAATTCGGTATGACACCTTCATCCATTTGATCCTGGGTATTAATGACATCTTTTCGTTATCCACAGAAACAAAACAAAACAAAAAGTCTGAAGTGACAGTATTGCTTGATAGCATAGCATTTGCTGTACTTTCAATTACTGTCATAAAGTAACACCAGTTCACTCAGAGGAAGTTTTTTTTTCTTAACTTATCTATTCTGGAGATAATGCTCTACCAGCACTAACATCTTCACATCTTTCCATTAAACTGTTACATAGAAACACAGAATGGGAATGATTTTACCTGTACAAAGGTGAGAGCTGCTTTCTGCAGTAAGCATTCCGCATAGCAGACTTCAGCATGCATTTCCTCTATATAAGAAAGAAAAGTAATCTACTGTCAGCAAAGCTGACAGTATCAATATTCTCCTCTTGAGGTCAATGGAACAAATAAAATGCTGCCAAGAAAAAAGGTCAGACTCTGCCATTGCTGCTTTGATAACTACTGAACAGCAGCTGTAACATGCAGATCCCACCAGAACTAGTAATCGAGAAGCTAGCTAAAAACAGTATTTTGTTTCACCTCTCCTCAGACAAAAACCTTGATCTTGTCATGGCTGCCTTCTGCCTCGGGCAAAAGCTTCTTACTACTCTGGTTGATAATCTCCTGTACTTTTCATTGATACTATCTTTAAATACAAGCGTAGAGCAGCTAGTTCTTCAAATTCTCCTTTCAAATCTGAGAAAACTTCCATAGATGAACACTAACACAGTGGCTCAGCTGTTTCCTAAGTCCAGTAAGACATTATGAACAAGTTTTCATTAAGTCATGCTAAACAATCTGAAAGCCCCAGGCAGACTGTCCTCATGCACCACTAAAGTCCATTTGACTTAACACACACGACACGAGTTACTCTGCTACAAGAGTAACTGCATGCTGCAAGACCAGACACATGCATAAGGCTGCTGTATGTACAGTGCACACACGGTGAATTTGATGTGTTCAGTATAAGGAGGGTTCTTTTGTGTCAGGTTAGAAAAAAATGCATACTTGATTCTGCCTGAATCAGAAATAGTAGATCAGCATTTTCAGAGCCATGAACAATGTACTGATACCATTTCCCAAAACACCTTAAGGCAAAACAGACAAGCACAAAACTTGTTAATATATTCAGATTCAAATACAACTAATGATAAGGACTTATTCCACAGCATAGGTAATTCTTAAGCTTTTTGCAGCAATCTTAAGTTGAGGGGGAAAAAAATAAACCATAACTGGTTATCAAACTCCTTTCTTACTTGATGCATGCTCAGAGCCTAACAAATGAGTTGGAATACACAATTTTGAGAAACTATGCATTAAAAAGGACAAATTAGTAATTGATCTGCACTAAATATTATTGCTTCCAAAGGACTCTGCAATACTGAAGATGGTACATGCAGGAATTTTTTTTCCTGTAAGATACTACTCAAATTATAGAGCATAGCATATTAGTGCACACTGATAGAGTGTTCTCAGGCTTTTTAAAATTTTGTTAATTTAACTGCATTATAAACCACTTACCTTCACTCAGTTGATCCACTGACTGTTTAGAAACTAGATTGGACAAGGACTCTACCACTGTGCTTCTTTTCCTGAATCTGTATCAGTCATACATAGAAGAAAAGAAACCCAAACAGCATAAGTGACATTCTGAAAAGAACTTTATTATTTATAATTCTTAACCAATTCCAACACAAACTTCAGACGTTCTTAAGAAAGTCGTAATTTCACAATAGCTACATTTTTTTTGAGTGATTTTTTGAGAGGCCTATCCAACCTTAATTTATTTTCCAAGTACAAATGTAATCTATGTTAAGTATACAACAGCATTTCCAGCTTCCATCTATAAAGTTCCTGCCTAATTCAACACACATGCAGAAACACTGCTGGGGAATGAATCAGTGCCACAGGCTAAAAAGTTTCTCACTGGACCTCTAGCATTTGAAAAGAGACTTCTGAGAAAAAAAGTCAAACTGATGGCAAAGTAATGTAATTGCCAGAACTGCTGCAGAAGTCTTTTTGATGCTGGGTAAGCCACTTTAATTCAACTTCAGATTTTAATGATTTTTTTTTTTCTATTTGTTCTCAAACTTGCACAGGGAGCACAATGAAAATAAGGGGAAGATGTTTTCAACATAAATGAGTAAGTATTTTATGTCCTTTTATGCCAGACATGGAATTTCACACTGGACCTCCCAGAGCAGAAGAGCAGACATTTTAGTTTTAACAGATCTCAGTTATCCATATTATGACATACTAGTTTATTTTATTATTTTAGCATCATTATTTTAGTATCATGTTCCCAAAATGAATTCTCTGATATTTACAAACAGCCTTACGAAGAAGCTCAACAAACAATTCAGAAAAGGAATACATTTTCCAAACCAGGGAGTCATTCATTAAAAACAATGAGAGCTTACTTAGACTCATAGAATCATTACAGTTGGAAAAGACCTCTAATATCCAGTCCAATTATCAACTCAGCAACACCATACTCATTAAACCACATCACTCAGTACCACATCTACAGGTTCCTTGAAAATTACCAGGGACAATGACTCCATCACCTTCCTGGGCAGCCTCACCACTCTTTCAGAGAAGAAATCTTTCCTAATATCCATCCCAAACCTCTCTTGGAGCAACTTAAGGCCACTACGACTCATTACCACTAGACACGAGGGAGAAAAGGCCCACTCCCACCTTGCTACAATTTCCCTTCAGTTAGCTAATTGTTTTAGAAGAAACATAAGTACAAGCCTGGTCCTCTTAGACTATTTTGTCTACTTTTGAAAACAATTCTTACAAAGAACACTTTCATAAAGAAAAGGAAATTTTAAATAGGGAGCTTTAAGCTATTGATCTCTATGGAGAATAAACATCACAGGTTGAAATAGCTCAGAATGTCAGCTTTGACTCTAGGTCTACAGTGCAATCAGCACTTTAACTTTACAGGTTATGAATACCCAAATTTGACAATATTAGTAAGCATAATCTTACTCAAAGTAATTCGATAGGTGACTTACCTCATCTTTCCAAATTTAGATCTCTATCATATCAACAGCATCCTGCCATGGAAGCACTTAGACAGCTGGGGTATCTCACAAAGAATACTCACTAGATTAAGTACTTCATAAATACAAATTGCTTGGACTTACCTTTGGCAGGTTTGCAAAGCTTCTTTCATTGTAGAAATTCCCATTTGTATATCCTGTTGTTCAAAGGTCATAGCAGCTTGCATAACTAAAATAGTGCTGTACCCAAGGGCATGGTACATACTATCTTTAGACCTAGGGCAAACATAAAAGTTTTGCACATTTTAACAAAAATTCAATTTAAAAGACAAAATTAAATGCTGTCTGAGACACCTACATTAGCTTATGTAAAAACAAAAGAAAAACAGAAGACTTAAGAATATAATGTAGACGAGGGCAATTTTCCTCTTTTTGCCACTTCACAGGCTACTGCTGCAGCAAGCCCCAGAAAATGTCCAAAAGTGGTTCATAAATACCTGCACTTAATTATATTGCCATTTGTAGTTCATTGGCATATCTGCTTCATTTAGCTAATTAAGCCACAACATATTCCTTTGGCTCTGCCTTCACTTAACAAAGGAGATAAGGACATCCTTAGAAAATGGTTAACTCACCCCAAGATACAAAAATCTGCATCTATGTCACAGAAAGGGCAGTACAACTGTAATCAGTTCTGCATAAAAGGCTACACTGAGCAAGCCTGATTTTCACAACATGAGAAAAATACTATCACACAATCAAAAAGTTGTTGGAAAGAGCTTCTCAAAGTGAAACCTACCAACCAAGTTTGGACAGCTTCAGGAAAATGAAGACAGAACACATCTCCTGCCACTCTTTCGCTGGTGCTGTACTTCTCTAAAATAACCTTTCCTAACAACCAGTTTGAACTTTCTAAGCCTCAACTTAGGGCAACCGCCTCTTGTTTTACCATCTGCCACTATGGATAAAACTGTCTCTGCCACTTCCCCTCAATAGCTGCAAACTACTATTAGATTAATCCCTCAAGTCTCCCTGTTGCCAAACTAAAAACAGCCCACCTCCCAATCACAGAGTTATATGTACATAATTTTCTGGCCACATTGCTATCCCTCCCAGGATCCTCTCCAGTTTGGAAACAGAATTCTTCAGTAAGAACAGGGAATATTTATCAGTAGCCTATTTATTTCTTGTAGGTATCACCTCCTCTACTTTTTAATGTTCTTTTTGAACTTACATTTAACTTTCTTTAAAAGGTTATTTTTCAGTAAAACAATTTTAACTTCTTTCTTAGAGGTGGCATTTCTTTCTTTGCTAGATTAAGCCCCCTTCTGCAGATTAGCTGAATATGCTGTATAATAGGCTCAGAGTCTGCTAACTGCCAGGAACTCAGTGTTGAAATCAAGGTATCTAGAGTGTTATTTTTCTTCATAGCTTAAATCAATTACAAGAAACACTTCACTGTACTTTAAAAAACCCATATTACAGTATAAAATGGTGATATGACTTACAGAGCTGTTTTATTATATAAACAAAATCCAATATATATAATGAAAGATATACTAAAATATTTTGGAAATGTGTGTACATGTATTTATTAATATACAACCCTTATATGCAGTACTATTTCACAATAATTCAGAAAAATCTAACTAGCTTTCTGTATTGTACTTTCTCAAAATGTTGCCCTATAACAAGCAATTTTGTGTTTGAAGACACGGTGCAATATGCACAGAATAGAACTTAGATACACATTAGACAGTTAAATTACTTTCCCAACATTTCACTTAACAGTGCATTTTCACTTGTCTGTACTGTCTACCTCACATTACCAACCCACCATTGTCACTCAATCTTACTGTTGTCAAACAGCAGAGCAGGAACTTCGCATTACTCTACCAACACACATTACAGAACCCCCTCACTGAAATACCCTTTGACATAATACACAGCAGACAGGAAAAGGACTGTGAATAGGAGTCACATCCCAGACACACAGATTACACACAGTCACAGTTCACCCACACAGCTCACCAGCTAACCTTTCAAGTTCCCTGGCTACCTACTCTTGAACTCAATGTGGGTATGGCCCAGTACATGATTTAAAATAGCTATTAACCAACACCTCCTAGAAATAATGAGCTTGTATTGTACAGGCTTCAGTTGTAATCCCAAGAGTTCTTCTCCTGTATTTCTCTGCAGTGAAATGGTAATGAAGTCTCCTATCATAAACCAGAATAATTTACAGAGCAAGCAAATGACTGCTAATGTGTATTACCATGTTTATCAGTATTGCACTGATGATTGTGATATTGAGAAAGCAAGAGCACACACACTTCAGAACATTCTATGTAATTCTGTCAGTTTATGAAGACTTTATTGTAAAGAGCAAAGGCAATAGGGAAGAAGATAATCAGAAAATTGAAAGGTTTGCTTTAAAAGTAAATACAGATGTCAGGCAAATGTAATTTAAAAACCATTAAAAGAGTATTCTGGAGGCATTTCTTCATCTTTGTTAATGTGTGAAAAAACATCTCCACTGCACAAAGTCTCTGATCAAAGACCCGTTAGGTGAGGTCTTTTTCTGTTTTTTCCTTCTGCAGGTGAAAAGACTATTTCTTTAACAGTTTTAGTGATGGACTAAAGAAATGAGCAGTTCTAAAACTCCAGAATACTGAGAAATACTTTTGGACAAGAGGAAATAAATGAAAGCTACTATCTTCAGAGGCTTTAAACCGATCTTCAGCTTACAGATAGTATATTTTACACTGTTCATGGAAATTCAAGCAAATATCATGACCTCACCAGGGGCGAAGTAATTCCAGGGCTTCAGAGAACTTGTTATTTAGAAACAAATTCAGTGCCATTGAACATTCTTCCAGAGAACTCTTGAGATCCATCTTGGATGCCCTAAAAAAAAAAAAAGGAAGCTTTTTAGTTCAGTCAAGTCGTAAATATAAACACAAAAATATGTTTTCTAATATAACTGAACAGGTGCTAGATAGCAATTGTATGGTATTGCTCATTTTTAAAATCTAACATTACAAAACCAAGTCAGACTATTTATCCACACTACAGATCACTTTATCCATGCTACAGACATATAAGAAAACTTACTAAAGTGATGGTTAGCATTTTGCCATCCTGTTTAGCAGTCAATATGCAATGGAGTCATTTTTACTAATATTTGTGTAACAAGCATACAAGTTATTGCATCTAACCTCTCATATTAGTATAAATTGCATATTAGTATAAATTGTATTAGTATAAATGTAGCATCAGACTCTATTCAGACTCAAAGTCTGGAGAGAGACGACAGCATAATAGCTTTAGTCCAAGAAAGCAGTAAACAGACACTCACTCTGCAAATAACCTCAAAATACTCCAGTCAGGAGCCTTCAGCCATGTCAAAAGTTTTTGTTCTTCCTAATTCACTTCACAGCTAAGTTACTTGGAATTGCTTACGAGCAAGCTATGTAACAAAACTTCTATCTCAGCCAGTTTTGTCTGATAGTCAAGAAGCACTCTTACTACTCCATGTGTGGAGCTGGTGACACACCAGACATTCCCAGCAGTAACAAGTAGCTAGCAGCTACATAGCCTTTAAAGAGCGCATCTGGATCTGGAAAAGATAATCTGTTTACAGCTTTAAAACAACAGGTTTAGGCTCCATAATGGGCTTTATTCAAGAAAGGTTAAGCAGTGCCAAGCAACAGATCACAGCAATGAGATGAATATTTAAGTGCTCACGAGAAGAGATGAATCCCAAAGGAGGAATTTAAGAAAGACAAACCATAGGGAGTTCAGCTATTCTAAATCTGGAAGAAAGCATGCAGGAAAACAAAACAAAACAGAACAGAACAGAAAACCTAAACAAAAGATGATATTAAAATGATTGGAAAAGCTTTTACACAGAAAACCTCTTTTTTTTCCCCACCTCTCCATTACTTTTGTACTTTTGTACTTTTTACTCACATTGGTTCTGCTTGTTGTATTCATTCTGGGGCAGAAAATTGGGATAAGGCTAGATGAACACTGAAAACATTTATTCAAGTTTGTCCCTTTTTTAAGGGCATACATAAAAAAAAAAAAAAAAAAATCACTTCATAGAGATATACTCAGCACTTCGAAATCACTATTTAATACTGAGCCTACCAAAAGGAAAATCTTGCACTTCATTATAAAAAATTGTGAAGGTGCAAACTGCTCAACAGAGCCCTCCTTTTTTAATGTCTTTGGGATACTGTTTAAAAGCAAATAGACAACAGACATATCCTGAGCCTGGAGCTATGGGCTATATCTGGCTAAAAAAGAGATGTATTCTACACACTAGGTACTACTTAGGGTCATACATTCGTTTTGTTACTGAAAGGTGCTCTGGTGATTGCAATACTGATGTAATCCCTATGGAATAATAAAGTAAATTTTGGTCAACTAACTACAGAAGTACATGATCACACACAGCAATGATTTTATATAGCATTTAATCAATGCAGGAAGAATAATCCTTACTCAAATATCTTAACAATCTTTACTAAATTTTATTTAGTTACAGCTGCAAATAAAAATATCACAATAACAAAAACAAAAATAACAAGTTATAAACCAGATAAAGTAACAGCAGTAATTTTTCTTCTGCTTCTGTCAAACAACTCTGTATCCTGTTATTTCTATACTGCTCTTCGTACCCTAGACCGTATTGCAAAATATAGAACATAAGGAATCAATTCACAATTCAAAGAGTGTCAGCTACTCTCACCCAACCTACACATTCATCTTTTGCTATAGTAGTTTCATTAACCACAGGTCTTTTCTGTTTACTCAGAAAGCTTTATAGTGTGCATTTAAGTATAAAATCACTGATTTTACTAGAAGCCAGAGCTTTGAGAGTACTTAGACTGTAGTGCTACAACTGAACTGTAAAAAAAAAAAAAAAAAAAAAAAGTGTTCATTTATTACTTTTTTCTTCATTTTCCAAGCCCTATACCTTATACAAGTCTGTGTGAATTATCTCCACGAGATAACTAAAGCCTACTCAATGACAGCAGTGTATTTCATTATGCATTTGATTTTCATTTCCCCCTCGCTGTATGTATTTTCTCAAATTTCTGAATCTCACACATCAACGAAAAATTAAAAGAGAGGGAAAGAAGAAAAGCAGAAGCACTGTTTCAAGATGCCTACAAAACTAGATGCCATTTTCACTATGACTTCAACAGGATCACTGACAATTTTAGTTTTCCCCTTTTAATAAGGTTTGCATAATCTCTTTGATTTTAGACTCTCTCCTCTAAGTCCTTAACTTAGATTAACTGATTAATCCTTCCTATCGGCTCCTCCTTAATGAGGAGAAAAAGGAAAGTGGTTTACCAAGTATACAGATTTTTATTCAAAAGCAACAATTTGCCACTGTTGCAGACAAACACAGGCAAGGAAGCTCCAGACCTCCTTGGCAAAACAGGACTTTGCACTTCATTTAAACTTGTTCAAGGGGTTAAAGGGGTTTCCATTAAAGCCATCATCAGTAATCAGTATGTTTGTGATCCTGTTCTCATTAATAAATTGTCTTGATAAACATTCAAATTTACTAAATATAACCAGAGCAATCTGTGTATTTGAATTCTGAATGTCAACAAAATAGTCCAAATTAAAAGATTTATATCATTAGCAGAGAAATGTATGTGTTTTTACATATCTTCTTTAAATGTCTTCAATAGCATACCCTCCAAAGAGCAGTGGTAAGAAATAAGAGACTCATTTAGAACAACTGAAAACTTCACAGAATAGTTAGCTAATTCCATAAGCAGCACCTGCAAACAGATAGCTATGAAAAATTAATTGCTACCTCTCTCTGTTCCTGCTACAAGAGAGAGGTATGAGTTAAGCTTTCAGTAACAAAGCATCACTACCACTGTGCCTTCCAAGGCTTCTGTGTCCACATTTGACTTTGCTAGTTTTAGGAAACTAATTTCATACAGCATGTGTTTGGTTAACAAATGGAATATGTAATCCGTCTTTCCAGAGTAAAAATGGTTTCATTTGAAGAAATTCTCCAAAGAAAAACATCAACAAAAATTTAATAGGCTTTTCCTTTTTAAATACTACATTTCCACTGATTGCTTCATTTATTTATTTAAAGTAAACACAATTGAGATTTAGCAAATGGCCAGAATGAGCCTTTATTCTCTCTCTTCTAATATGCATTGAAATATTTACTACTAGAACAATAATCCCTAGCATGTATATAAAGGAGTGTTAGTAATTGAAAGTACCAAAATTATTTACAGCTTGTTAATTCTCTGTTCCCACTGCTATCCCCCCCTCACTTCCCAGCTAATTTAAAATGGGCTGAACTGGTAAAGACAAACAGCTCAAAATGCAGGCGAAAAAAAAGTTGTTGCTTTAGTATTTAAGATAAAGTTATTCACGTATTTAATGAGTTTGATAGAAACAATCTGTCAATTATCGGTGTAAGATTATCCCAGGAGGGCAGTCATTGCGACTTCAAAGTATCAAGTGGAACAGGCTGTTGCCTTTGTATCTAAGATTTAGTCCGTCAACCTTACTGCAACAACTTAGCAACCGTTCTCTGGAAAAATGGCAGTTACCACACACCAGATGGATCAAGCTGCCATCCAACCTGGCCTTGAACAACTCCAGGGATGGGGCACCCACAACTTCTCTGGGCAGCCTGCAACAGTGCTTCACCACCCTCTGAGTAAAAAAAAATAATCCTCCTAATACCTAAACTATATCCCTTCTTCTTCAGCTTAAAAGCATTCCCTCTTGTCCTATCACCATTTATCAGTGTGAAAAGTCCGTCTCCCTCTTGCTTTTAAGCTCCCTTTCAGTACTGGATGACTGCAATGAGGTCTCCCCAGACAGAACAAGTCCAGCTCACAGCCTTTCTTTGGAGAAGTGCTCCAGCCCTCTGATCACCTTTGCAGCCCTCCTCTGGACTTGCTCCAACAGCTCCACATCATTCCCATGCTGGGGATCCAGACCTGAACACAGACCTGAACTCCAGATGGGACCTCAGGAGTGCAGAGGAGAGGATCACAATGATCTCCCTTGTCCTCTCCTCAGGGCTGCTCTCAAGGAGTTCTTCTCCTGTCTATACACAGGTGGGATTGCCCTAACCCAGATACAACACCCAGCTGTGCCACCCAGCTAGGTGTCAGCAAACTTGTTTGGTGGTGAACTTAACCCCATTGATGAGGTCTTCGATAAAGATGTTGAAGAACATTGCAGAGAGGATGCTATTTTGATGTAAAGAATCAAGAAAATACAATGCACTGCATCTTAAGGAATAATTTCTCAGGAAAGAGCTAGCAAGTATGTGACTCATTGCATTTCCTGAAGCTCTGCTGAAGAAGAATCTCCTTTAGACATATTGGTTTCCTTAAAACAAATAAAAACTGTTTTGGGTTCAGTCAGAATACAATAGATAAGATAGTAAGAAACTACAACCTGTAGCCTTCTTGAGCAACATGCATGCAAGTATCTAATAGGACATTTATTGCTAAGACAATGATGACAAAACAGCATTAAAAGGTATTTTCACCAAGTAAATAAATCAAATAGCCTTAATACACTGTCAAAATCTGATGCTCGCTGATGCTATTCACTGTTTCTGCAACTTCAAAATAGAACTTTCCTTTCATAAGTAATAAGTATCTTCAATGAGAAAATGTAGTATTTTGCTGTTTATGTTCCACACTGTCAAAATGAATAATTAAGTTTTTCTCAGAACATAACAATAAATAGCAGTATCGCTTGACTAGAACTTACTCAGTTATTCTGCCTTTCTGGCTTGTGTTACTTTTGAACACTGCTTACTTTGAATGGATTCTTCTTTTGTAATGTCCAAGATCAATGCAGATTCTGATAACTTTAGCTGATAGGATCCT